GGCAGTGTCACTGGCCCTCATATGTGGGATCCGAACCGGGGCCCTCTGGCGTCCCAAGCCAGTTCTTAACCATCGCGCCACTCGGCCGGCCCTAATTGTTTCTTTTTTTGTTGTTGAGATCTAGGAATTCACTATGAGTATACTCTAGATATTAATCCCTTATCAGATATGTAATTTACAAATATTTTCTCTCATTCTCTGGGTTACCTTTTACTCAGTTGTTTTGATAAACCAAATTTTAAATTTTTCATGTAGTCTGATTTATCTCTTTTTTTTGTTGTCTGCACTTTTGATGTCATACCCAAGAAATCACTGCCAAATCCAATGTCATGAAGCTTTCGTCCTATATTTTCTTCTAGGATTTTATAGTTTTAGGTCTTACATTTAAGTCTTCGATCTATTTTGACTTAATTTTTGTGTTAGGTAAGGGTCCAACATTATTTCTGTGCATTTGGATACCCAGTTTACCCACCACCATTTGTTGAAGTCTGTCCTTTCCTCCATAAAATGGTCTTGGCACCCTTGTCAAAAATCACTTGACCAAGTATAAGAGGATTTTATTCCTGGACTCTCTATTTTTAGTTTATATATCTGTCTGTATGCCAGTACTGTTTTGAGTACTATAGCTTTGTACTAAGTTTTGAAATCAGGATGTGTGAGTCCACCCTCTGTTCTTTTTCAAAATTGTTTTGGCTATTTGGGGTCCCTTGAGATTCCATGACTTTTAGAATGGATTTTTTACTTCTGGAAAAAAAAAAAGCCACTGAGATTTTGTTAGGAATTGCATTAAATCTGTAGATTGTTTTGGAGAGTACTAACATGTTAATATTGTTCCAATTCATGAACACGGGATGTCTTTCCATTTGTGTCTTTATTGTTTTGTAGTTTTGTGTACATGTCTTTTGCCTCCTGGTTATTTATTCCTAAATATTTTAGACTTTTTGATGCTATTATAAATGGAATTGCTTTCCTAATTTCCTTTTCAATGTTGGTGAATAGCAATGTAACTGATTTTTGTATCCTGCTACTTTACTAAATTCATCTATTAGTTCTAACAGTTTTTTTCTTTGGTTTTTGGTGGAATCTTTAGAGCTTTCTACATATATGAACATATTATCTGCAAACAGTTACCATTTCACTTCTTCCTTTCCAATTCAGATGTCTTTTGTCTTCCTTGCCTAATTGCCCTGGCTAGAATTTCCAGTATTATGTTGAATAGCAGTGGTGAAAGCATACATCCTTGCCTTGTTCCTGATCTTAGAGGAAAAACTTTCCATTTTTCACTATTGAGTATGATGTTCATTGCTGTTTTTTCATATATGGCTGTTATTTTGTTGAAGTAGTTGCCTTGTATTCCAGTTTGTTGAGCTTCTTTATCATGAAAGGGTGTTGAATTTTGCCAAATGCCTTTCTGCATCAATTGAGATGATCTTGTGGGTTTTTCTCTTTATTGTTAATGTGGTGTATTACATTAACCAATTTTCATATGTTGAACCATCCTTGCATTCCAGGAATAAATCCCACTTGGTCATGGCATGCTATCTAATATGCTGATGAATTTGGTTTGCTAGTATTTTGTTGGGGAATTATGCATCACTATTTATAAAAGATATTGCTTTGTAGATTTTTCTAGTTTGGCTTTGGACTCAGGGTTATGCTGGCCCCAGAGAATGAATTAGGAAGCATTACATCCTCTTCAATTGTTTTGGAAAAGTTTGAGGATTGATATTAGTTCTTTAAATGTTTGGTAGAATTCACCACTGAAGCCATAAAGAGAGCCAACTGTGCTCTCTTTAACCAACGGCCCATCTCCCTTTAGATTGCAAATCAAACAAGGCCCCCGTACAGCTCCTTGGGGCAAAAGCTCAGAAACATACAGGGAAAGCCAATACCACAAATGCTATAAACATTTCATTTTATTTATTCTTTTTTTAAGAAAGTAGCTTCAGAAAAGAGGAAAATAATCTAGATCATTTATTTATATATATATGTATATATATATATCTTTTTTTTTTTTTTTAATAAAAACCTTTACATAGTCTTCATGCATAAAGACCCAAGAGTGGCTATGTTGTCTGTGACTGCCTTAACACCAGCTGTCTCAGGCTGTTACCTGGGCTCCCCATAGCTGGCAGTTTAGCGAAGGCCCTCTGCTTCCCCTGAAGCCAAGATCCTTGCCTGCCTCAGTGATGGTTTTACCTTCTGGAATTGTAGATGGAGGATGGTGAATGCTTAGGACTAGAATGGAAGGGACAGGGAGGGCTACCCAACCCTAGAATGGAAGGGACAGGGAGGGCTACCCAACCTGCCATGTTTTATCCAAACTCTTCAGGCAAATCCAGATAGGAGGCCTAGCAAGATGACTGAAAACCAGGGACCAAACGGAGTTCTGGGACCTTCCCAGAAACATGGGATCTGTGATCAAGGGCTCCTGCACATGGCAGTAGGGAAGCTTTGGTGTTAATGGAACGTTTAAAGCAGGAACAAATAAAACTTGAAGACCCACCTCTCCATGGCCGGCATGTACCTATAGCCACCAGAGAGATCCTGTTCTGCTTCCTCACTCAGTCCAGCCCTCTTTTGATTCGAAAACTCAGTGTTATCAATATACTTAAAAGATAGATTCTCCTTCCTCCTATGGATAGTTCATCTGTTAAGGAAGGACAGTCCTAGACCAACATGTTTGTACCATCACCTGTCCCACTCCTAAAGAGTCCTAGTATAAAAGGACTGGGGCAGGAATAGGACAGTAGTTGTTGGCATGGAGGGTCACAAGATCCAGAATGGATGAGGGTGGAAAACGATTCCCTGGTTCTTTGGGGGGGGGGGGGGCGGCGATTCTGCCAAAGGTGCTTTATTGACCATTAAAAATAAAAAAGAATGTTGTCAGGATGGTAAAAAGAGACTTGGCTCCTTTTTGGGGTTCCAAAAGCCCTTATGCTTTGTTCTGTATTAAGGAAAGCCCTGAACAACTGGAGGATGTTGCTTGGGGCAGCAGGAAGGGAGGATGGATTCCACAGACAACCCAGAGGATGGCAAATAGGGTCAACTCAATGCAGGGGACCTCTGTGTGGTGAGTGTGAATGAGCATGTGAGTGTGATGGAAGAAGCCTGGGGCTTACTGGCTCCCAACAGTCAGTTCTTGAAGGTAGGACTGTGTGAGGCTGCGCAGTTCTTCCAAGGCATAATCCTCAGGCATTGGGAGCCGGCCAATGTGGGGAGCCAATAGGCGCAGAGGGACTCGCTGAGGGTCTGGTGTTGAGTCAGAGGTTGCATCCGGGGCATGCTGAAGGCTCAGTACCACACGCAGCAGGTTGGCTACACGTTTGGCCATGTCTGCAGAGAAAAATGGAGTACCACAGATGAAAAGTGGGGAAACGTGGGTACCGGGGTGGGGTGGGGTGGGATGTGTGTGTAATAATCATAAAGACAGGAAGCAAGCAGGCAGGAAGTGGGAAGAGGCTAGAGGCTTACCTGACTGAGCCAGGCGATCCTTGGCATTGTAACACTGGATCTGCTCTATCCGGTTGCACAGTGAAGTCACTTTGGTATGTAACCGCTCCAGCTCATAACCTGAGCAATCCACCTATAAAGAAGCAGATAAACTAATTAGGCCAACAGGAGCTCCCATCACCACAATCTTACTCATAGACTGACTATGCAAAACTTTGAAACAATGGTAAGGTGAGCGAAGGGAACCCAAGAAGCTGGCTGGCAGTACCATGTTATCACCATCCTCCCTCATTGCTGAGGGCAAGGTACACCTTAGCAGTAATACACAACAACTCAGAAATGTCTATTGTACATACTGCTTGGTAATAAACACAAGAAAGTGTTTTTAAATTTTGATACAGCTACAAAAATCACTACATCAAATGAGCCTTATCAAAAATGTCCCTCCTGTACTGACAGTGCTGTCTCTAGAGCCCGTGAGTTTTTCTTCTTCTTCTTTTTTTTTTTTAGCTGAGCCATCCTGCCACCTGTTGGCAGCTCAGCTTGGGCCAGGAATCGAACCGCTGTTCAGCGAGCTCTTAACCAACTGAGCCGTTCAGCCGGCCCACTGTGAGTTTTTCAAGTCGTTGCTGAGGCCATTTGAGGTCTCTGTGGCTTTAGGGCCAGGGAAAAGGAAAACTAGGCAGTGATTTAAGAATTTGGGTACCTGTTGTATATGGTGGAGCATTTCAAAGACCTGAATATAATCCAGGTAAACAAGGCCTGATGTTTCCCAGTCCTGGATTAGGCCGCTGCGCTCCGGAGGTGCCAGGTCTTCCAAGAACCCCTTCAGGTAGTCATAGTTCTCATTAATGATGGCATCTGAAGAACAAAATATTGAGCACTGTGTCTACACAAGTATATGGTTCCCAAAAATACAGAGGAGGGACATGACAGAAATCCAAGACAGGAAGAAAGGGGAAATAACGTTGGGTCAGACTTGAGAGTTTCAAGTAGGTATTTTGAAATTCTCTAAAAAAAAAAAAAAAAAAGTGAAGAATTTCTGGCTTTGGTTTCCCAAACAGATATTTTTGGTGTTGCTGAATAAAACTCCCTAAATAAACAAAGAGCTTAATATAATTAGTATATATAAAGAGTGTTCCTGACAAATGATAACAACATGGCTGTTTACCCCTGCTCTGCTAGCCCCTCATCCTGGCCAAGCCTCTTCTGCATGAGAGCTTTCAAAGTGTGATCTGGTTCACTCTGATTTATATCTGCTATGTCCCGTACTGAGCATCAACTCTGGCCTGACTCATCATGAGGTTCAGAGGTTGGAAGAATGTGGGGTGATTCCAGGAGACAAAGGCACTAGCATGAAGCACTCACCAGAAGCTAAGTGCCGGATGACGAGTTTGTGGCAGCGGTTCCAGTGACCAGCTTTAAATAAATAGAGGGCCTCCAGGTGCTTGTCGGATTCCATGTGTGCTCGCACTGCTTTGGCCTCATGAATCCATTCGGCAGGCACACAAAGCTTCTGGGTCAGGAAAGTCTCCTTAGCCCAAGATTCAGGGGTCTCCAATAGTTGGCAGTGCCGGGTAAGCAGCTCTCGAACAGCCTTCTCACGCATGCTAAAAGGGAGAGATTCGCTGGAATAAATGTCATCCTCGTTCATGGAGAAGGCTGCCTCAAACAGTTCAGAGTGGCCCCTGGGACAGTCTCTCAAACTGCAGGTTTCAACCTTTAATGGATCAACTCAAACGCCACTAAAAAAGTCAAAGGCCATCATCACACCAGCATTTATTTTTTAAACAAAATAGAATATCAAGTATCCACATACATTATATTTTCATGGCCAAAAAAGTCTGAAAACTAATACTCCAGGGAAGATTGCCACTGCCCAGAAAAGGCTTTCCCTAGCTGGGATCTCTCCTTTATGTCCTTTCTAGTAACAGGAGATCAAGGACTGGGATAGGGGAATTCTATATTCTGCAAAGCAGTGCTCTGCAGTTCATTCCTAACAGTCTCCCTTCCCTGACAACTCTCACATTGTCAGTACAAGTAAGCAAAACAGTTTAAGTCTCTTCCAGGTTCTTGTTTTTTTTCTCAAAACCATCAACCTTCTTAATTCATTTTTTTCTCTACCTCTAGATTTAGGCCAAACATACTCTTTCTGCTCTTGAGGTCCCTTAAAGAGAGACCTTTTCTATCTGGGCAAAAGGACCAGCCATTTTAATTTCAGATCTACACTATTCTCATCTTAGATTCTTTCTAGGTTTTTCAAGAACTCCCAATCTTATCACTACTGCCTCACCACTGTTCCCCGCCCCCTGACCTCCCCGCAACCCCACAAACAGGATCTGCTTCTCTACAGCCAACTCTGAACCATCAGTCATCCAATTAGTCTGCCTTTTACCATGTGAAATAAACTCATAGGAAAAGTCTGGGGTTGTTTTGCTTCCTGGTAAGAGAAAAGGAAAGAGAAATTCCTTAAAGGGAAGGCTGTGTTAGATGCTTTATACTTTTACTTCTTTATACCACAATCACCTTTGAATAGGGATTAACATTATGATTTTACAGATTAAAAAATTGAGGCTTGGCGAGTATTACCCAAAGTCAAATGTGAGTAAGCTTTACCCTAGGTCAAAATGAGTAATGTTGGATTCAGAATTTAGGCAAGTGTGACTACAAAACTCAACTTCTTTCCACACCATACAACATGACAGTGTAGCTTAGTGATTAAGAGCATTAACTCTGGGTGTTTTGAATTGGAAGCCTCCTCTGCCATCTACTAGCTATGTGACTTTGAGCAAAAGTTACTTAATCTTGCTGTGCCTTGGGCTGCTCATTGGTAAAATAATAAAAGTGTCTATCTCACAGGTTCATTATGAGCATTAAATGAGTTAATATATGCAAAGACTTACAAAAAGAAATAAACATATATAAAAGGACTATATAACAAAATACTACATAGATGATTGTTTTTGTTATTATTGCAATGCCGTGCTGCAATTGCTAACAAAAAGACCCCCTCTCCCCCAAAACAAAAAACAAAAACCAACATACACAGCATGAAGGAAAGTCACTTCCCTGGTTCTCTTTCAGGAAAGAGAACCAAAACATTCGTATCTAAGCAAGGCTGTATTGGTGAATACAATACCATCAAACTTGAATGGTGGAGGTGGATAGATGGCAAGGGAAGGGCCAGACAGGGAGAAAGCCAGTAGACAGAGATATAGCAGGGGCCCTCCCTGCTAACCCATTGTACCATTCCACGGATCCACTGAGGCAGCTCAGCCAACACTATTTCTGAATACAGAAGTCCCCTCTTATCTGAGGGAAATAGTTCCAAGACTCCCAGAGGATGGCTGAAACCGTGGATAGTACCGAACTCTATATATACTGTTTTTCCTATACATACATGACTGTGACAAAGTTTAATTTATAAATTAGGCACAGTAAGAGATTAACAATAGCTAGTAATAAAATAGAACACATTTCACAATATACTGTAATAAAAGTTATGTAAATGTGGCCTCCTTCAAAATACCTTAATGTGCTGTACTCGCCGTTTCAACTTAAAAGAAGCACTTTACGGCTTCTCTTTGGCATACCCAAATTGTGACCATCACTACTCTTGTGCTTTGGGGCCATTACTAAGTAAAGTGAGGGTTATTTGAACACAAGCACTGTGATACCATGATAGTCAATCTGGTAGCTGAGACAGCTACTAAGTGGCTAACAGATGGGTAGCACACACAGCGTGCATGCGCTAGACAAAGGGATGATTCTCTACCTGGGCAGGATGGAGTAGGACAGCAAGAGATTTCATTGTGCTAGTCAGAACAGCGTGCAATCTAAAACTTATAAATTGTTTATTTCTGAAATTTTCAATTTAATATTTTCAGATTGTGATTCACCACAGGTAACTGAAACTGCAGAAAATGAAACCACAGATAGAGGGGGATTACTGTAATTCTAAGCATGCCACATTCAAGTGGATCTGAGCCTAACTTAAGGGGGTTTCCCCACCTGGGCATATCTTTCACTTTCCACTAATCATTTCCTATTCCAATTTTACAGGTTCTTTTAATCTTAGCTCTACAAAAATTCACGGGAGATTTTGCAAATCAGAGATCTCTTCTCCCATCTCAGACAACTGAGAGGTCTTATGAGCAACAGATAAATTTGGCACTCAATCAAAGGCAGTCTCACGTCTAACTTGTTGGCATGAATACAGAGACAGTCTAGGCTGCAGATTATCACAAGGCTGGACCCAAAATACATTGTAAACACGTACTTGCTGATTTAAACCCTAAGAGACTGATTCTGTTAGCATTGCCCTGGAGCTCTAGATGTACACAGTGGGTCTGATGAATTCTCACTCACCTTGAATTGTCAATGTGCAGGAGGACAAAGATGGCCCACTCCCAGAGCCCCTCACTTTCCAGTTGGCCAGCATAACTGGCCTGCAGCACACCCTCACACTGCTCTGAGAGATGGGTGTAGTTAAGAGCCCGAAGCACCTCCCACAAGTGCCAGCTTAGACGGTAGTCCAACGGATCCACTGTTACACTTCGAGGCTCTAGCAGCTGGTTGAGATCATAATGTCTGCAAAGGAGAATGTGCTGAGAGTTACCATATCCAGCTAGCCGACCACCTGTACTGAATGTCAACTGTTCTGGCTATAGCTTAGAAGACAAGGCAGGCAGGCCACCGAGAGCAAAAGCATTACAGTCCTCATAGTCTCCCTCTTAGTGTTATATCGATCTACCTCTAGGTTCAGCCAGATTACAGCTCCTACCAAAAAATAAGGGACCTTCCCTTCTGTGGCTGTGTAATCTAATAGGTTTGCCGGTATTTGGCCTATATATTTTACCATCCTCATACAGGGAGTCTCCACAGTTCTCATCCTTCTACTCCCTCATTATAGTGATTACTTTTCTTAACTATTAAAAAAACATAGTTACCTTGGTATCTTTCAGACTGTTCCACTATCTGAAGTTGTTGGAGTGCTAATTCTCCTGTTTATTTGAACAGCTAACTAGTCTTCATGGCCGGTAAGCTATAGTCTACATATAGACTATAGATACAGTACACAGCTTATAATTTTTACCTTTGATTTTATCTACAGTAGGTATTATTCTTTTTATAGAACAGGTACCCTGGATTTTGAAAGTGACCCTATACAGACTTTTGCTTTTTCTTCTGCTGGAAGCCCAGGGATTTCAATGGTCCTGGAGCAGTTTATGTGTTAAGATCCTAGCTTGGAATTCCCAGATCCTAAGAATAGTATAAACTAAGATCCCATACCTGCAAGTTTTAAAGATCCGGGGCTTAGATTATCAACCAATACCTTTTGCCTTTCACCTAAGATCCCAGACATTTTATAACTTCCTAACACCTCCGTGAATGAGTAGTTTTTCTTGACTAGTGCTGTGAAACTGAACTTTGTGCGATGATGGAAATGTTCTAGAGTCTGCCTTAACCAATACGCTAGCCAGTAGTCACATGTGGCTATTAAATACTTGAAAGAAGGCTAGTGGGAATGGGTAATTAAGTTTTAAGTTTTTTAAAATTTAAAGTCATATGTAAACAGTAACTATTATATTGAACAGTGCAATGCTAGGCTATTTTTAAGAGATAGGATATGATTTTTATATAGGGGTTTTAGTCACAGCAATTCTACCTTTCATGAGAATAAAGTTTACTATCTCATGCTAGCTTTGATTTCTCTATTTCTGATAACTTGAGATATTGCTTTCCTCCTGCTTTTTTTTTTAATTATGCCTTTCTGTCATTATAAATTAGTTTGTATTTTCCAGAATTTTATATAAATTGGAATCAACAATAGGTACATTTTTTTGGGGGGAGTGTATTCTTTTGTCTCGCCTCTTTCAGAACTAAGTAAAATTATTTTGTAATTCACTATGTTGTTGCATTTATCAACAGTTCATTCCTTTTTACTGCTGAGCAGTATTCCATTGTATGGATGTACCACAATTTGTTTCTTCTTTCACGTGTTAATGGCAATTTGTAATGGTACAGTTTTGGACCATTAGAAAGAAAGCTGCTATCAACATTTGTATATAGGCATGTTTTCATTCCTCTTGGGTAAATACCTAGGAGTGGAATGGCTGGATCACATGTATGTATGTGTACGTTTAACTTTTTAATCTGCCAAACTGCTTTCCAAAGTGCCAATATTATTTTACATTTTTCATCAGCAGTGTATGAGAACTCCGATTACTCCACATCCATGACAACACTTGGTACAGGTCTTTTTAATTTTTAGCCATTCTAAGGTGGGTAATAGTAACCCATGATGGCTTTAATTTGCACGTTCTTATTGTCTATTGAAGCCAACCATTTTCTCTTGTGCTTATTTGACATTCGGATCTTCTCTGGTGAAGCATCTGTTTAAATATTTTGCCCAATTTTTTAATTGAGTTGTTTTCTAATTATTGAGTTCTGACAATTCTTTATTATGTTTTGAATACAAGTCCTTCACCAGATATATAACTGCAAATACCTTCTCCCAATCTGACTTTTCATTCTTTTAACAAGCTTTCAATGAGCACCAGTTTTTAATTTTGTTGAAGTCCAATTTACCAATTTTTTCTTTTATGGGCTTTGTGTTTGGTGTCTAAGAAATCTTTGTCTAACACACATTTGCAAAGATCTTCTGCTTTGCTTTCTTCCAAAAGATGATTGTTTTAAGTTTGACATTTAGGTTTATGATTCATTTTGAGCTGGATGAATAATAGAGATAAACAATGAAACCAAAAACTGGAAGTAGATAAATCAAGAAAATTACCAATATCAAAAAAGTGACATAACTACAGGTCCTACAACACACATTTAAAAGGATAAAGAAATGTTATGGGCCGGCTGAGTGGCTCAGTTGGTTAAGAGTTGGCTAAAGAGTGCAAGCTCTGAGCAACAGGGCTGCCGGTTCAATTCTCACATGGACCAGTGATGCTGTGCCTGAGCTGAGCTGTTGCTGACCTGCCAACAGGTGGCAGGATGGCTCAGCTAGTGTAACAACAAGATTGCCTGTTCAATGGTGGGCTATGCCCACCCGCAACTAAGACTGAACTCAGCACCTTGAGCTGAGCTGCTGCCCAGATGGCTCAGTGGATAGGGCATGCGCTCTTAACAACAAGGCTGCTGGTTTGACTCCCGCATGGGATGGTGGCTATGCCCACCCAGAACTAAGACTGAGCACAGCACCTTAAACTTAGAGGCCACGAGCTGCCGACGGGCAGCCAGATGGCGACTGGCACCCTTCATAACGAACATTGAATAACAACAATTCGGCTGGTCCCCTTCCCCAATTCCCCAACACTGTTCCCCTCCCCAATTCCCCAATAAAATCTAAAAAATAAAGTTAAATAAATAAATAAAAATAAAGAAATGTTATGAATAATTTTATGCTAATAAATTTGGTGACTTTGGTGAAACAGGCAAATTCCTTAGAAGAAACAAATGATCAAAACTGACTCAAGAATAAATAGAAAACCTCAACAACCCTACATCTATTTTAAAAATTGATTTTGTAGTTTTAAAACTTTAATAAATTGGAGTTTATAGAAATGTTTAAAACTTCTGCTCTTCATATTCTTTGTAAAGAAAATAAAAAATCAAGCACTTATACTGGGAGAAAATAACTGCAAAAGCAGTTATAATAAAGAATTCATATCCAGAATATATAAAGAACTATTACAACACAGTAAGACAACCCTATAAAAAATGAGCAAAAGATTTAAACATACACTTTAGCAAGGAAGAGACTACAGACGGTAAATAAGCACATGAAAATGCTCAACATCATAAAGCATTAGCAAAATGCAAATTAAAATACAATTTTAGTTATATACATTTTACCACAATGAAAATTATTCTATAATTAATATAAATACCTTATATTTAAAAGAAAGTATTTAAAGAATGGAAATGAGATGTAAACTATTAGTTCTGACTTAAGAAAACCCCTCAGTGCCTCTGATATAATGTAAACAGACACTTCTGAGTTTTAATTAATTGATTAGATACAATAATAGCATGTTACTATGTTATTGTAGGATAAACCACTCTTCATTTCTTACTGAAACACACACACACACACACACACACACACACACACACACACACACACACACACACACACACACACTATATGAGATATCATTATATGCCCATAAAAATGGTGAAATTTTTAAAACTGACAATACCAAAATATGAAAGGGTATGGAGCAACTAAAGATTTTGGTGGGAATGTAAAATGATACAAGCACTTCTGGATATAAATGAGCACTTTTTGATGTAAATGTTCATAGCAACTTTATTCATAATAGCCCAAAACAAGAAAACCTAACTGTCACACCAACAAATAAAATTAGGCAATAAAAAACTTCTGGATCTACATCATTAACATGAATATATCTCAAAATCATTATACTGAGTGAAAGAAGCCAGGCACAAAAGATAACATACAGAATGATTCCAATTATATAAAATTCTACAATAGAACAGCAAAACTAATCTATAGTAATTAAAAGTCAGTCAGCAGCTGTCTGGGGTGGAAACTGATTGCAAAGGGAACTCTTTGGAAGTAATGTAAATGTTATCTTGATTGTGATGGTAGTTACATTACATTAAAACCTATCAAATTATACACTTTATTGTATGTAAATTGTATCTCATTAAAATTAATTAAAATTTCGATTACTAAGTCTAGTTCCAGTGCTCTTTGTACTCAATTACTATAGGTTATATTTTGGTAATTTATACAGACTAATGGCAATTTGGCCATGAACGAAAGGGAAAGGACTCCCTAGGGCTCAAAGTGACTATATGCATGGCTCTGATTTACCTGTCACTGTAGAGTTTTAGAAGGTGAAAGCAGACGTCTTGAAGTGGTCTCTGTGAGTCTTGCTCCTCCTCTACCACACAGCCAGAGCCCTCCAGGTATGAAGGGAGTGGGGAGCAGGCATATCTGTCACCCTCAGAGGTATTCTGAAGTTAAGAATTTGATAAAACAATACATCAGCTGCTAGTGTGTTTCACAGAGACTATGTCTCCATTACTCAGATATGTGTATTAACAATGATGTGACACCTTCTAAAGGAATGTGTCAAAGATCTTAAACTTATTTTGATCAGCGACATATTCCACTTGTCTTCAAGGGACTGGCAAAGACTACAGATAGCTCTCAATAATCTCAACACCTTTCTTGCCACAATTCTTATTACACTCAGTTTCTTCAGTGTTCTCTTTTTCCTGATAAACAATATCAGAGACAATAAAAATAGACAGTAAGAAAAGAATTGAAGAGGGCCGGCCAAGTGGCTCAGTTGATTAAGAGCTTGCTCAAGAATGCGAGCTCTGAGCAACAGGGTTGCCGGTTCGATTTCCACATGGGCCAGTGAGCTGCGCCTGAGCTGAGCTGCCAACAGGTGGCAGGATGGATCAGCTGGTGAGAGCATGTGCTCCTAACAACAAGGTTGCCTATTCAAGATGGTGGGCTGCGCCTGCAACTAAGACTGAATTTGGCATCTTGAGCTAAGCTGCTGCCTGGGTGGCTCAGTGGATAGAGCGTGCAGTCTTACCAATGAGTCTGCTGGCTCGACTCCTGCATGGGATGGTGGTTACGCCCACCCGCAACTAAATGAACAGGGCACCTTGAGCTGAGTGGCCCGACTGGACTTGGAGCTGAGTTTGCTGCGCCCTCCACAACTAAGAATGAAAGACAACAACTAGGCTGTTCCCCTTCCCCAATTCCTCAATAAAATCTTTTTTAAAAAAAATTTAAAGAAATGATAACATTAAAAACAGTAGTAATATGGGGCCCGCCGAGTGGCTCAGTTGGTTAAGAGTGCGAGCTCTGATGAACAGGGTCACTGGTTCGATTCCCACATGGGCCAGTGAGCTGCGCTGCCAACAGGTGGCAGAATGGCACATTGGTTAGAGCATGCCCTCTTAGCAGCAAGGTTTCCGGTTCGACTCCTGCATGGGATGGTGGGCTATGCCCACCTACAACTAAGATTGAACATGGCACCTTGAGCTGAGTGGCTGTGAGCTGCCGACGGGCAACTGGGTGGCGACTGGACTTGGAGCTGAGCTAGCTGCACCCTACACAACTAAGATTGAAGAACAACAACTTGGCTGTTCCCCTTTCCCAATTCCCCAATAAAATCTTAAAAAAAAAAAACCCAGAACAGTAATAATACCTCAACACTAACAAGCAATATGAAATGTGGTATTTATAGGCAAATCGCAGACCTAATTTGGGGCTATACCAAACTGCAAGTCAGACAGTATCTCAGGGAATTCCCAAAAGATTAGATATCATTAGGAATGAAGAAAACCCTCTAATTTTGGGGCAGAAAAACAGCAGTAAGAAAGTCAGCTGTGGAAATTAATCATATTAAATAAAACAGAAGCAGATGCTTGAAAAAGTTTAAGGGTAGCCCTGTCCAGAGGGCAGAAGAAAAGGAAAATGTTTCCCATCGGATTTCCTGGGTTCATTTTAATTTTATGGTACTTTCAAAACAAGCAGTTAGGACAAAGTATTATGAAATGAGACTTGATGTTTTTTTCCCTGCAGTACTTTTCTGGCAAAAACAGAGCTACTATAAGACTCTTGCTTGGCTCTACTGGACACATATACCTGAAATGCTTCTTCATACATGCTGAGTGCCCTGGAAATGGAGGCTGTTGGTGGTAGCAAATACCAAAGATGGACAGCCAGAGAGCGTTTCCAGTCCAACTGGGAGCACACATTGATTTGCTTCTGCTCTGAGAGCTGCCATACCTGCAGGAGACATAATCACCATCACAGCTAAACAGTATGTTATCTTGTTACTGCCCAGGTATGCAAATTATTCACTTACTCAAGTAACATTTTAAATGATCTAGTAGCAGTGTTAATGATCCAGATAGAAAATACAGTCCCTGGTGGCAGGTGATAGGAATCACTGCTCTGAGAAGAGATGAGAATCACTGGGAACAAAGAAGTCTCTTTATTGCCCACAGTAGCCAATTTATAAAACTTTAAGATGTGAATAAATTCTGACCAACTTTTTCATTTTTGGAAATTGACTTCAAGATGGTAGCAATAGAGGCTGGCTTAAAATAATTATGGCATATTACTCATCAAATGAAACAGAAGTGTCCATTAAAAAGATGAAGCTGCATTACATGAAAAAATATCCATATAGGGCCGGCCGAGTGGTGCGTTGGTTAAGAGCTGGCTTGGGATGCCAGAGGGCCCCAGTTCGGATCCCACATATGAGGGCCAGTGACATTGCCCTCCACAGCTAAGATGCTGAACAACAGCTCAACCTGGAGCTGGGCTGCCGTGAGTCGCCGGCGACGGCGTAGGCTACAGCCCCTGTGGCAGTGGGTTGCCATGGGCTACCGTATATAGCCAGCAGCCAGCGTGAGCAGCCAGCAGCCGCAGTGAGCAGCCGTCCAGAAGCCGGTGACTGATCTGCCTCGCCCGGGAAGAGCGCAATGATGGTGCCAAATTGGGCCAGTGAAGCGACGTCCTCCACAACTAGACTAAAGAACAAAAAGGATAGCAACTTGTCTGTTCCCCTTCCCCCAATTCCCCAATTAAAAAAAAAAAAATCCATATAAAGTTAAAAAAAGTTGCAGAATTGCTATGTATGATTTTATTTGAATATACATATATGTAAATATGTATACACGTATGTTGATATAAACTTAAATACATGTAGAAAAACAGAATTATTTACATTGTTTGTTACTATGATATGGGGTATGGTGAATATTAACATTTTTATTTCTATATGACTCGGTTTTTTGTTGTGTTTTTTTACAATGTATATGTACCTATACAATCTGAAAATACTTCCATTAAAAGTAAGTTGCTTCCAAGAAGTAGCCAAAAAAAAAACAAGTAAGTTGCTTAGTTATGTGTGAGTGTACAATTTACAAAGATAGCTCTTTGCTTTAACCTCAAGCAAATTTGAATTTATGAGAAAATTTACATAAGTTTATGAGAAAAGAGGAAAATACCGGTTTGCCAGCCAACAGAGCAAAAATGCGCAGTCTCTCGTCCTGGATGAAGCAGTCGGCCTGGAGCTGATGCCAATCCACCAGCTGCATGGTAAGCAGCTCCCGGACCGACTGGCTACCCACCAACTGGGATAAAAGAAGGGCAAGACGATGATCACCTACAAGAAAAACAGAAGTTCTCTAGTGATACTGAGGATTTACACACTTGGGGAAACACTTGGGGGCATCACTTTATTTCTTCTAGCCCTCAGAACAGAGACCTTAACACCTGTGACTGCTTTCTGCAGTGGTTCCAAAACATTGATCAAAAACTTGCCTTTTTCTCCTTGGGTAGAAAATCTTCAAAGTAGTCTAACCTAAATTGCATATGGACTTATAGTAGACAGTTCAGTGACAAATCTATTACTTCTGTAACCCTACACAAGGCACTTCATCTATAAAATGTAGGAAAATACCATGATTCAAAGCTTTATAGTGAAAACTGAGATGGCATAATTGAAAACCTGCCCAACTAGAATGTACTATATAATGACACTGAGAAACAGCAAGCTCAAACCTAAAGGAAAAACATATATATATAAAATGATACAAAGGGCTGGGGAAATAAAAAGAGTATAATCAACCAGAATATGAGGGAATAGAAATTCCAGTTTATGAAAATTTCCAGTTAAACTGTGAGTTAAGAGAAAAATCCTTTGTCTCAGCCCTTAAGACAAACCTTCTAAAAGTCAATAGTCCTTTTCCTTTCATTTTTGTATATGAGTCAGTGCTACCTGACTATATAAAGTACTGTTCTGCCAGAAACTAAGGTTCTCATCTCAAAGAGTTTCCTTCACAAACTGGAGAGGCCTGGAAGAAAGAAATCATGCATCAGGAACACATCTAGAAATGTGCTGCTAGGCTAAGGTGTCTCATGATTGTATATAGGTAACCAAGCATGACTGGAGTATGATTCGTGCAGTAAGTGATGCAGCCTAGTTGACCATGAGTTGCTAGTATTCTAGGTGAATAATAATAAAGGAAAAAAGAAAAGATTATTTCTGTGTATCTATAGGACTCCAAAGAGGGGGTTTATAACCCAACAAATATAAATACCCTGTTCAGTAAAGATGGTCAAGTTCAGAGAAGAGATTGGAATGTCATATCTTGATACAATCATTTATTAATAAGATAATTTCTCTTTGATCACACAATCCACCAATCAGCATCTTCCAAACCTTGCCTTTTCACATAGATTTTCCCATTGATGAGACCCTATACTGGGTTGTCGGAAAAGTCATAATGTATTTTTTCTGTTTTTCTTTGCAAAAATGCGTCATGACTTTTCCGACAACCCAATATTTGCGCAAATGAAAGGATTCTAGGGTACTTTCTGAAGTGGATTTTAGTGTGTGATATAAGGACTAAATTCATCTTTTACATATGAATATCCAACTATCCCAGCATTATTTGTTGAAAAGTCTACCCTTCCCATATTTAAGTTGTTTTGGCACCTTTGTCAAAAATAACTGACCATGAGTGAAAGGGTTTTATATTTAGATTCTCATTTCTGTTCAACTGATCATTATGTTCATCCTATGTCAGTACCACATCGTCTTGACTGCTGTAGCTTTATAGAAAATTTGAAATCAGAAAGTGCTGAGTCCCCTGACTTCATTCACTTACAACGCTGTTTAAATTTTTAACATTTCCATAAGGATCAGGACCTGCAAAAATGCCAGATGGAGATTTTGATGCAGATTGTGTTGAAAGTATAGATTAATTTGGGGAGAACAGACATTTTAACAATACTGAAGTTTCTCGTCCATTAGTGGTTCTCGACCTGGGTGATTTTTCCCCTAGGGAACATTTGGCAATGTTTGAAGATATTTTTGGTTGTCACAACTAGAGGGGAGAGAACTCTCTTGGGTAGAGGGCAGAGATGCTGCTAAATAGCCTACAATGTCAGGCTAGCCTCCACAACAAAGAATTACCAGCCAAAAATGCCAGTGGTGCTGAAGTTGAGATGTATTCCATGAACATTGGACTTTCTCTTCATTTATTCAGATCTTTTATTTTTCCAGCAATGTTGTATAATTTTCAGTGTACAAGTCTTAGACTTTTGTTACATTTATTCCTTAAGTATTTTATTCTTTCTGATGCTACTGGAATTTTAAAATTTTCATTTTTGGATGGTTTGTCACTAACACATAGAAATATAATTGAATTTTGTATTTTGATCTTGAATCCTGAGACCTTGCTGAACTAGTTCACTAGTCCCACTACTTTTTCTGTGGATTCAATAGGACTGTCTCCATACAGAAGAATCATGCCACCTGTGAATAATACAGACAGTTCTAACTTTTTTTTTTTTTTTTAGCTGAGCCATCCTGCCACCTGTTGGCAGCTCTGCGGCAGCTCAGCTCAGGCTGGGAATCGAACTGCTGTTCCTCAGAGCTCAAACTCTTGAGTAAGCTCTTAACCAACTTAGCCACTCGGCCGGCCCCTAACTCTTTTTAATCTGTATAACTTTTGCTTATTTTTCTTGTCTGAATACACTGGCTACAATATTCATTACAATACTGTACAGAAATAGCATTCCCAATCTTAGGGTGAAATCATTTAGTCTTTCAACATTAAGTATGATGTTAGCTATAGGTATTTTGTAGAGTCACTTTGATATCAGGGTAATAATGTCATCATAAGATGTATTAGAAAGTACTTCCTCCTCTATTTTCTAGAAGAGCTGTAGAAGATTGGTATTCATTCATCTTTCATTCAATCAGTCACAAGACATCTGAGCCTGCGCTTTTCTGAGTGAAAATTTTAAATTACGAATTCAACTTCTTTACTTGTATGGCTCTATTTAGATTTCCTACTACTTCTTGAGTCAGTTTTGGTAATTTATATCCTCCTAGGAATAAATTCCTAAATTTGTCAATCCTATCTAAGTTGTTGAATTTGTTGACACAATTTCTCATAATATTCCCTTTTCTGTAGGGTTAAGAGCAATGTTCACTCTTTTACTCCTGTTTTTTGTGTCTTTCCTTTTTTTCATGATCAGTGTAAAGATCTGTAGACTTTCTTGATCTTTTCAAAGAACTAACTTTTTGTTTTATTGATTTCTCTATTGTTTTTGTTTTCATTTCCATTGATATATTGTAATCTTACTATTTCCTCCCTTCTTCTACCCTTCAGTTTTAGTTTGCTCTTTTGATAGTTTCTTCAGGTAAAAGCTTAGGTTATTGATTTGAGGTGTTTCTTCTTGTTGGGTAGTTATCAGGTAACATTGGTTGATAGTGTTAAAGTATTCTATATTCTTGATTTTCTTTCTGGTTGTTCTATCAATATTGAAAGTGGAGGTAGTGAAGCAAAAGTTTTTAGTAAGCTGAAAGGTAGTGAGTGTCTTGCCAAAGGTTTAACCTTACAGTAAGAAAAAGAAAAGGGGGGGGGGAAACATAGTTTGTGAATGAATAAATCTAAGGACCTGACTTCTGGCATTCCTTAAGATTCTCTTTTGCTACATGTATGTGTGCTGATGAGCATAACTTTATCACTTTAATGATTCATAGACTTTATAGCAGGTCAATCTTGAAGACAAGTGCTCACTGTACAAATAAAGACCACAAAAGGCACTGAGCTAAATGTGTAGTGAGAGTGAAATGCAACTGGCCACTTCTATATATTACTGATTCTAGCTTTTTTTGTGATTTGTTCCTTATAATCCCCAAATTGGGCAAGCCCTCAAATAATCCAGTTGATGGCTTCAATTAAATTAAATTCCAACAAAACAAGGTTTGATCAACAATAAGTTGAACTATGTCATCCTCTATTCTTATCAAGATTTGTGTCTAGACAGTCATTAAGTACTAGCTGAATGCCTCTCATTAATAGAAGAGGAGCTAATAAAAAAGGACAAAAATATATGGAAGGCCTAAAAAAAAGCGAAGTATCTCAACCCAGAAATTAAACTTCTACATGTTTATATGAGATAAGTGAATTAGTGTGAAACACTTGTTTAAGAGGTTCAGAATATTGCTTATAGTAAGGGAGGAATAAAGCCTAACTATCAAAAAAGGTATTTGCTGGGCCAGTCGAGTGGCGCAATGGTTAAAAACTGGCTTGGGACGCCAGAGGACCGCGGTTCGGATCCCACATATGAGGGCCAGTGACACTGCCCTCCACAGCTAAGATGCTGAACAACAGCTCAACCTGGAGCTGGGCTGCTGTGCGTCACCGGCGACGGCGTAGGCTGCAGCCCCTCTAGCAGTGGGTTGCCATGGGCTACTGTATGTAGCCAGCAGCCAGCGTTGAGTGGCCAGCAGCCGCAGTGAGCGGCCGTCCAGAAGCCGGCGACTGATGTGCCTCGCCTGGGAAGAGCGCAATGATGGTGCCAACTTGGGCCAGTGAAGCAACGTCCTCCACAACTAGACTGAAGAAAAAAAACGACAGCAACTTGTCTGTTCTCCTTCCCCCAATAAAAATCTTTAAAAAAAAAAAAAAGGTATTTGCTAACATGAATCATTTACATACAAAATACTAAAAGGCATTTGACTATAATATCTATATTATAGGACATTTGTCATTTATGACATGAAAAGAAGAGTATGAATGTATGTGTGTATATATAGCAGGATGCCATCTTTGAGTTTACATGCATATCATATGTTGTTCTGTGTTCACATATTTGTATATACTTTATATATTACAAAGCAAACAGTCCAAGTACAAATTGCACATTGAAATGTTTGCAGTGAACAGTAGTAAAGGATTTAGGAGTTTTTTGTTTACTGCTTTTTGCTTACCTGCATTTTCTAGTTTTACTACAAATGTGTAGGTAGCATATAAAATTAAAATAATTTCAATAAAGTAAATTTAACGTTTAGGTTCTAAAGAAGAAAAATAGAAGACACAGTCCCTATTCTAGAACCAGCAATCTTCCTGGGTAGTCTATACTTAATAGGATAGAAAACAAAGGCAAATCCACAATTAAGAAGTAGGGATACTAAGTAGGAAGTAGGCATATGCCATACCTGACTGCTGGGCCAGAGAGCAGGCCTCACTGATCCTCTTGCCCGTGAGGTAGCTGAAGACAGCCTCCACAGGGTTGTCTTTACGGGTTAAGGAGACTTCCTCCTCAATTTGAGGTGCGGCAGTATGGGATAGCCAGCGAGAGAAAGCTCTTCTTCGCTCCAGAATCTGAATATATTCACTAGGTTCATCTAGCTGGCTATCAAGCTCCTTCAGGTGGCCCCATAGAGCTTCACATAATGTCCATGTTAGGCTCCAGTGCTTCACAACTAAGGAAGAGACAGGAAAACAATGTTATGACACTAAGTCCTATAATAACTACATAGAATACATAGATTAGTATACATACGCATAAGAATACATAAATTAATAAACAACCCAACCAACCACTCAGGTCGATTACCCCTGAATCTGTCTCCACCTAACTCAGTTGTGTCATACAAGCTGCAGAGATGTGTGATGTAAATGCTTGCTCCCTCCACATTCCTGTAGTACTTATAAGGTGTGATCAAAAAATACGCTGAATGTTTAAATTAAAAAAAAATTATTACAGTAAAAGACACAATGCCATATTAATCACCTTCACAATACTCCCCCTCACTTCGAACACTCTTATCCCATCGTTCTTGCCACTTTCTGAAGCAGTTCTGGAAGTCCTCTTTTGTGAGTATCTTTAGATGTGCTGTCATGGCTGCCTTGATATCCTGAATTGATTCAAAACATTTACCTTTCATGGTCATTTTGACTTTGGGGAAGAGCCAGAAGTTGCACGGTGCCAGATCATGGTCACTGCAGCATCACCATAAACTAATTTTATCATTTCGTGTGTTTCTTTAGTACTTTTTTGCAGTTTAAAACAAAATTTCATGCATTGTTTGTGATCCATGATTTATGGCACACTTTAAAACACACCTTCTTTCAACCATAGCTCACACCCAGCTGACTGCACCAAACAAGTTGAAACTTGTCACACACAGTTACTAAGTGTTACTAAGGTTCGACACGGCGCTTCCCGTATTAAAGATCCCTGCCTTTTTATTGGATGGCACTCAGCACCAGCATTCACCGTATTTTTTGATCACACCTCATACATAACAAATGTAACTCAATGCTCCTTTAAACTGTTTCCTATAGCCTAATTATGGTTAATATAACTCAAATGGTAGAGAAAAGTCCTCTAAATTGATCAAATTCTGTTTACAAAATGCTGTAAAGAATATAAAGTGCTCTAAAAATTTGTGAGGGATTATTCTCTCCTGCTATAGATATAGGCACAGCCTAACATTTAGTGAGTCTAAATGACTGCTGAAAGCACTTAAAAGTAAACCAACTTTAACATATACAATGTGACTATATAATAGTTACTATCTTCATTTTACAAATGAGGAACTGAGGTATAGAGTGTTAAGTAACTTGCTCAAAGTTACAGGCAATATGTAGCACAGCCAGGATTCAAACCCAAGTAATCTGAGTCCAACTCTATACTCTTAACCACTATGTATACTGCTCTTCAAGAAGGAAAACAAAAAGGAAGAACTGTTTACTACTTTAAGCCACTTACAAGTACACATTGGCAAGATGACTCACATGTTTGAAAAGACAATTGAAGCAAACACAAAGAACTGAACAGTGTAGTATGGAACATTCTAAAATAGTCTCCATATTTCAATAAAAGTGATATGAAATGGTGTGAAACACATAATTATGATTTTTCTAATATTTGAAATATTAAGTTCCTAAATTAGAAAAGCCCTTTATCAAAGTATTGGTTCAGAGAAACATGGTCACCATAGTTATAGAGAAGTAATAGCAAGGGAGGTCAGGAAGGGAAGTTATCAACACCAAAGTTGTTGGGAAGGCCAAGTAGGATTTCAGCTGGACATGGAAGAATGGATAAAATTTAGAAAAGAAAGAAGGGATCACTCTCTCCCTATGTTCTCTGTGGGAGGGCAGGGGGAGGGAAGAATGCAATTTCATAAATACAAGCGATTTGACTGGCTACAGTTCCTTTGAACAAGGACTTGTATGTTAAAGGCCATAATAGTAATTGTAAGCAATATAATTTCTTCTTGCTTGGGATTCTGCTCATCTCAACTCAACTACAGACAAGTACAAGCTCAGGAATATGGAAATCTGTTATCCTATAACATATGCTCTTATTTCTATTCCTGGGACATCAAAGGTTAGAAGCATAGTCTATACTCACTTTGTGCTTCCAATAAATCTCCTGATACTTCCTTAACCCAATCTGCATAATCATGAATGACAGCAACTCCTGGATTGGGAACAATGAGAGGACACAGCTCATCCACGTGGACAGTGCTGTGTTTTAATTTGAGCTCCAGAGGTATCTGATATAATTGCAGGTCTTCATCCAACTTCTTTTGTCTCAAACTGAGTTTTTCCAAATGAACTTTGAATGGGGACTCAGTTAGGCTACAAGGGCAAATGACAACATAGAAAATAAAGATAAGACAGATGCCAGACTTTTCCTACCACCAAAACTTTGTTTCTTTTTATGATTACAAATAGAATGCAAACATTTCACTGTAATTTAAAAGAAATTTTGTTTCCTAATGTCAAATTATAATGAACCTATTTCCTAGATACTGAGGAAACAAATTATCTTGCCCGTGCATTCAGAATCCAATAGCTTCTTAGGTCAGGTTATAACAAACATGGGAATCAGTACAGCTGGAACTGGACTTGGAAATGGCTTCAGCATGCATCTAAATACTATGAAGTCCAAGGACGATAAACTTGTGGGATATCGATTTCTTAAATTATACTTAGTGAGGTATCAAAAGTCACGCGGTTAAGCTTATAGATACTGAAGAACTGATTCAAAATTAAGATAAGCATATAGTCAATCTGGCCTTGAATCAATTTTTAAGATTGCTATTAACAACCTCCAAAACATCATGACATCATGCATGGTTTTAGCTTTAGAATTAACATTCCTAATTGTGAGGTTCAAGAGATGCTATTGTTTATTTCTTCAAAGTCAACTTTAAAAACTAATTATAGGTGATCATAGCCACTTAATCTGTAGTAAAGATAGAACTATTTGCTATAATTATAAAAAGGAAATAGGAAAATGTTACATATTTTGCAAAAAAACAACTGTATACATAGTATTTAATAACTACTGGAAAACTATACATATAATCAATCAACCTACCTACCCAGTATATATATAAACTATAAGCACACATATATATTGGGTTGTTGGAAAAGTGATGATGCATTTTTGCAACGAAAAACAGAAAAATACGTCATGACTTTTCCGACAACCCAATATGTGCTGATGGCGGGGATTGTGTAGAAATATGTAACACCCATAGTTATCAGATATCGCCTTATTTCCAAATACTTATGCATGGATTATCCACAGTTCATACATTCATCTTCTCAGGTTAAGATACAGGAAATGTGCTTAGTTGAGAATATACCTTATATTTGAAGAAATCACAAATATCTAAGTGAGAAAATTTTAAAAAATGACTAGTAAAAAGGATGAGAACCCAAGGAATGCTGCAGCATTAGCTTGGGGTCTTGTTACTTTTCCAACTAAAGTTTAATGACAAGGTAAGTATTATATGCTCTTCATACCTTGATAATACAAATGCAGTTATATTACTGATCATTTTAGTTTTTAATTATAAAAATACCTTCTGCTATGTAAAATTGTGCCAAGAGTATATCTAGAAAGATCTGATGATCGAAAGTTTATTTCTCACCTACCATGTTGCCTTTCTCAAAAAGCATAAGGAAATGTGACTCACGATTTAACAGCTACTGGATTAGGCAGGAATCCATATTCCACAGAATCAGTAATCTGATGATTTTCCAGTTCATGAGAGGCACTCAGCTGTTCTCCACTATTAGCAAGAATCCAGTTGGGGCCCCAACCAACCCGAAATGAGCGTCCCATAAATAGGGCCATGTCCATCAAGAGTTTCCCCTTGCCATAGGTGATAGACTTTTCAAGAGGGACTAGGCCTGGTTGTCTGCGTGTACCCACAGTTTTCAACTGAACCTCAGGGGCTGGGCTGGGCACTGTAAACACAGAGGTAAGGGGTGGAGGGACAGGCCAAGAGGATGTGGATGGGATATTCATCAAAGATGATGCTCTGGGAGTGCGACATTCTTGCACAGAGGCACTTGGTGAAAAAAAAGCTCCACTTGTAAATTTTGATTGTAGTAACCCACCAACTAAAATAAGGGGGGAAAAAGGCTATTAGAAAATATAGTCTATTGTTTTTTAAACAACAATCAGTGAGGCTGAAATTAGAACTTTACCAAACTAATTAAATCAGGTATAGAAGAACAGAAGCAGGTTAAGTCAGATACTGCAGAAATTACTCATTCAACCAGACATCAAGGCAGGAATTATGATGATGATGTCAACAATAACAACATTAATAATAAACATAGCTACTACTATTTAAGTCTGACATTAATGCTCATGCCCTTATCAGAATGCCAAATGTAACTTTCTTAGTCAATATAAATAACTTAATAAAATCAAATTCAAATTCCTACCACTTTAATGTTCAATGCTGGACTTAGGAAACAAAAACCCACTGAGACATCTTGTGCCTTTCAGAAAAACTGTTGTTACTACTGCCTGTTTTCCAATTTTACACGGTTCCTATCTAGAACAAGGAGTTAGTTAGTTATTCAGGCATGAGATTTTCATGTAGTTTATGGAAAAGACTGTTATGAATGTTTAACTGATGCTTTATTAGTTAAAGCATTAAAAGAAGGAAAGTTAATACCTTAGGGCACTGAAAAGAAATGAAAAATAAACGTTTAGTTTTTTAGGCAACATAAATCTCTTCCTGGTAGTTCCTTTGTTTTTCAAAATGCTTTTGAAATTACATCTGCTTAAATCCTTTGTCCTCTACCTCCAAACCCACCCACATAGCTAAAAGCCTTGCTAGAAAAGGGAAAGCTTTCAAATGAAACTTGTAATCACTTCCCTGGGAACTTGGGAAGGTTTAGAGAAAGTAGAAATCTGACAAGTGTTTTGCATTATGAGAAGCAAAATTTGCCCCTAGAAGGCAATAAGGAGAGTGTTAGGACTGCAAAAAAGAGTACAATGCAGGACAATTTGCTGTTTCCTCTAAGGTATGATAAAAATTAGGAAATCTGAGATTACTATCTAATCCACATTCATAAGCAAATAAAAACATGACCCTAAACGAATGCTTTTTTCTCCATACAACTTTTGCATCTGTACAAATAAAGCAAGTCATGGTTTTTTTAAAAACTGGCCCCACTTAACAGATATTTATACAAGTATGTTTCTTCTTGGATCCTTATGTCATATACCTTTAGGGGCTATTTGCTAGAGGAGTCTGCAACTTAGAAGACATATGAAAAGCAAGACTTTACACCTTTCTTATAAAATAGCATCTTTTACAGTACCTAATGAACGGGATTTTGATGAGTGGGCTGCTGAAATGGGGAGTCTGGGAGAACAGATTTCTTGAGAAGTATCTACTTTAGAAGGAAGGCGACTGAAGCGTTGATCCAGAACCATATCTACATCTTCTTCATCAGCAAGCAATGATGCTTTCATGATCTAAAAAGGCAATATCTATAGAATGAATGTGCACCCCCAAAGCCAAAGGCCATAAAAGAAAAAATGCAGTTTATAACAACCGATAAATCACTCTGCTTCAAGACAGGTACAGTTGTATAAATGACTTAATTTACACTTGTATGTGCCTGAAGGGTAGAAGTTACATAAAACTCCTCTTCTTTGTACTACAGTCTCACAAGAGTTTGGCACACAGCAATCACTCACATGTTTGCTAAATGAATAATTTCAAAGTCAAACAAGCCAAAGGTTAAATTAGTAATATGCCAAAAGGCATGGGCGGGGGAAGTTGACACAGAGCTTAAAAAGAAACCTACATAATAAAAAATAATTTAATAAAAAAAAAAAGAAAGAAACCTGCATCTACTAGGTTTTGGTTTTTTTTGCTCACTTTTAACTTTTGTGGAGCACTTTCAAGAGCCTCAAAATCAATCTATGAAGTAAACACATAATATTTTATAGAAAAAAATCAGTGCTCACAGATATTAAGTGACTTGCCTAAAGTCACATAGAAATAGTTACAAAACTGGGGTTAGAATCCAGGTCTTCTGAACCTCAACATAGCCTTCCCTTCCCAAATGGGAAAATAAGGCCCAAACATGGGTTGTACTCCTGTACTTATTCCAGTGAGTGCTCTTAAATGGAGGAAGAGGCCCAATGTTATGCAAGGGAAATAAGGATTAGTTTGGCTTCCTGTTGTAGTAGGTGGGGGCGGATTAGGACTTCACCTGTAAGACATGTGGATTAATTCCCAATGAAGATGCAATGTGTGTTGAAGCAGACACAGGTTCCTGATCCTCAGGCACGCTCTCTTCTAACATGGAATCCAAAATTGGCTCCTGGGTGATATCTACCATGTCACTGTCCAGTTCCACAACCCTCCCTAACTGCTCCACCTCTGGGCTCTGGCTCTGTAGATAGCAGAAAGATCAGGGAAGCAGCGTTAAATTACACCAAATAAACATAGAGCTTCTAGACATATTTAGTTTATTCAGAATATGATATAAAAATATTAGATTCTGCCCATTCTACACAACGTGAGGTGGCATATTTGCTAAACAGGATTTAACAAGTTACAAAAAAATCGCCCCCTGTAAGTACTTGGGATATAAATGAAGATTCACAGACTCACACTTTTGTAATATTTTGGTCTGGTGTCTGGAACCTAAGCCAAAACCCATAATGAAAAAATGGTGGTCTTCGGACAAAGACTATGCCTTACCTGATTTAGCTAGCAACTAAAATTTTCCAGTTTACAGAGGGTCACCCTGCCCTTATACTGCCTTGTAGCCAGAAGCCATTGGGAAAAGAGAATAAAAGGTACAAATATCGAAGTCTCCAGTAACTTTGCACTGTTTTTAAAGAAAACATTTAGAAATAACTTTCTAGTTAACACAGTTTGAGCCTGGAATTTATCTTTTGAGTGGCTGAATCCTAAGGTCAGCCAGGCTCTACCTGTGCAGTACCATGTAAGGTACAAGGACTATCTACTCTAATTTCCCAAAATGAAAAACAAACTAATATTTTCAGGAACAAGTTTAATCTGGGAGTAATTCCTTTATGTTTAAAAATGTCAAAGTTATATTTACATTTATCAAGCAGTTTTAAAGATATAGGTAAGCACTTAATACAGCTGAAGCACACTGAAATAATTGGTTCACTACAAATTACCACTTAAGATGTGAACAATCCCCAAGGACTGCTCTAACAAAACTGAAAGTTAGATAATGGTCAAAAGGCAAAGATGATACTATTTCTTAACAATAGGGGAAGCTGCAGGCAGGTCTGACTACTTTTATGCTTTAAAATTCTGGGCAAAAAAATGCAGCCTTGGTGATGATGCTCCCATTATAAGGATTATGGGAACACTCTCACTCCAATGGCTCCCTAATATGTTGATTTTTAACCAATGCACTTTTAGGAAAAGTGGTGAAACTTCCCATCTTCTGCCAATCTACCAGTTACGATGCTCTCCTCTGTTGGGCTCTCATAACACCCTATTTTCTTGCATATACAGAGGGTGCCAAAAGAATGTATACACATTTTAAGAAAGGAAAAAACTGTATTAACTGTTAATACTCAATATAAACCGATAACAAAAGTTGAACACAAGTCATGTTTGACTTCTGCAATTATAAGAGGTGCTCAAAGTGGTTACCATCAGTGTCCAGACACTTCTGATTATGGCAAACTACTGCTTGAGCATAGATAACATCTCTTAAAATGTGTATACATCTTTTTGGCATTCGGTATATATTTGTCCCACCAGATTGTTAAGGCTTGAAAACAGAAATCATGGCCTACTGTTTTCTGTATCTACCACCAAGAACATTGTTAAATTCAACATTCACTGAGCACTTTCTTTATTATTTCTATTGCCTAATGCACCGCCTTGTACACAGAAAAAGCAATTAACTATAAAAGGACAGGAAGGCAAGAATGGGTGGGAGGAAAGAAGGGGGAAGATGGTTCCAACTTATTACACTACTCAACAAATGAGTACTAACAGCAAGAGACGTTCACTTAGAACGCTTTTAGGTAAAATGGGAAGATATCATCAAATAATTAGATTAGGGACCTAGGGGACCCAGCATATCTTTAAGAAGAATGCTAAGGATCAAGGTTTTATTTGCTTCATCCTCAAACACAGATTTCAAAGCTACAAGATATCATAAGTGGACAAGGAGGAAGTGAATTATTATGAAACTGTGAGGACCTGATAAGCTCTTAGACCCCCCCCATATGCACATTTTGTAAAAGTATATCTAAGTAATTGCGATAAACGCTCACTGTGTACTTATTTTCAGAGAAATCTAGGGAGATTGGGTGCTTCTTCAAAGCCAGTCCTGGAAAGAAAAGTACACTAAATAGAAAAATGATGGCTCAGAAGGAACTGAAGAGAAAGAAAAAATAAATAGAAAGCCCCTGGGAGGGTCTATGGAAAAGAAAGGCATGTACTGGGAGAAGCCAAGGGTATTATTTTAACTTGCCCTTTCCTACACTGTAATAGGATATCTTATTTATGTTTAAATACCAGCAGACTATATTACAAATGCTAAGTACACAGATAATATCTGTAAAATGGCTATTCAGATATATGTAAGGGGGGGGTTTCATGGCTGAAGCCTTTAATGACTGAGAAACCTCTACTCTCCAACTCAGTAGAATTGTCCTTATACAAAGCTGCCAATACTCTAAACATAAAGCATCTCCTACTCCAGTAGGTAAAATGTTTCAAGTAAGTACAGTATACCAAGACACCCTTATTCAACAAAGGGTAAGTGACCAGTCTACAGTAAAACAGGTGTGAAAATAATTCATTCTGCCCTCTCATCCAAATAGTTTAATCCAGTATAACTACTACTGTTGCCTGCCTCCAAAACAACTTGCTTTCCTAACTGCAAAAAATGTTTTATATTCATTTTGCTGTAAAATCAGTCGTCAACAATATTGCATTCTTAAGAGAAATTCCACGTCAGGGTTTCAAGGGCACACACCAAAGTTAAATGTAGTTTCTACACATACAATCAGAGATATTACTGTAGGAAGCATAGGATTCAGTAACACTGTCTGAAAAAAACAGGCTTGGGGCTACAGAATTATTTTATATATATGCAATATCTAAAAATTAAATTAAAATATAAAATTAAAAATATATGTTGGCTAATTGGATAAAATTATATAGCTGCCATTTTATTTTTCATAAAAGTATACACAAATGAAATGAAATTTTCTTCTAAATCGTAACCTGTTTTCCTTTAAAATAATTTTAAGCTTATTTGAATGTACTCACGAAGTGAACAATGCTAAGTTTCTGAGCAAGTCAACTAGTCTGTCTTGATGGTATTGAAAACAAGTTACAGGGCTGGCCGAGTGGCTCAGTTGGTTAAGAGTTAGCTTAAGAGCCCAAGCTCTGAGCAACAGGGCTGCCGGTTCGATTCCCAAATAGGCCAGTGACACTGCGCCCAAGCTGAGCTGTCACTGGGCTGCCAACAGGTGGCAGGATGGCTCAGCTGGTGAGAGCACGTGCTCCTAACAAGACTGCCTGTTCGATGGTGAACATGCACTGCTTGCCTGCAACTAAGACTGAACTCGGCACCTTAAGCTGAGCTGCTAGCCGGATGGCTCAGTGGAAAGTGCAGTGCATGTGCTCTTAACAAGGCTGCTGGTTCGACTCTCTCATGGGATGGTGGCTACACCCACCCACAACTAAGATTGTAACACAGCACCTTGAGCTTAGAAGCCACAACCTGCCAACATGTGCAACCAGTGCAACCAGATGGCAACTGGTGCCTTCCACAACTAAGATTGAAGAACAACAAACTTGGCTGGTCCCCCTCCCCAATTTCCCAATTTATAAAAAAAAAAAAAAAACAAGAGAAAAAAAAAGTTACATTTCAGTATAAGGCTGAGGTTAAAAAAAAAAATTACATGTCTGTCTGCCAGATGCCAAAGACCTGAGATTTTCCAACAAACAGTTCTGAAACCTGGCTGCATATCTCAATCACCTGGGGAAAAGCACTTAAAATGTAAATATGCCTCATCAAAGCTCACCAAGATATTGATGCAATCTATCAGCTGAAAACTGGACTTTAGATCAGCATTTTGGAACTAATGTTCTAACTACCAAACAAAACGTTTTTTCAACTGCACTAATTCATCTGTGTGAAGGTGTTTCTGCCAAAATTTTCTCTAAGTTAAAAGGCATAAGAGAAGATTACATGAAATTTTAGTTACCTTGATATTTTGTGGTTGCTTAGATTTTCTTGCTTTTTTAGGAGGAAAGTAAGGCTTAAGAATAAACTGTAAAGAGGTGACTGAGGATATGTATAAAAGGCAGTGGAATAAATGTGACCTTTAAACAAAATTATAAATCTTCCCAGAGCCTGAGATTTTTGTACAGGAAAAAAAAAAAAAAAAGCTACAGCAGACTGAGAGAACACCATATCATGAAAATCAATCTCTCCAAGGGGGCCAAGTGACAGTGTGGAGACAGCACTCTTGACACTGGGATGAGAAGATGGATCTGTCTATTCCAGTTCATTCAGATGGTTCAAGTATTCTCATGCCAAATAAAATATAGATCTTTGGTACTAATAACTAAAAACTATGTAACCACCGGGCAATATGAAGGAAGAGTTCTTTAGAATCCCACATTATTGTTTTAACACATTAGCCTGAATATCTAAGCAACTCTACCCATTTCTCCCATTTCTGCTTTCCCCATCCAAAAGGTCAAAAACCACCCACTTCCTCAATCAAAGGAGATGTCTGAAAAAAGACCCCTGTTCACTATAGTATTCTTTTTACCCATTTTGATCCTTATCACCTCTTTCCCCTAGAACCTTGTTCTGAAATATTTTGGTGCTCAGTTTTTCAGAGCTCTCACCTACTCAAGTGTCATCACAGGAATTTATAGTTATCTGTTACTATTTGTACTCTGAAAATTAAAGAGCCTAAAAACCACTGATTATCGAAATTACATAAATTTGCTCTGTCCATAGATGAAGTTTATTTTCCCCCAGCTGTATCTTTAGGATCCTCCATATACTTTTATTGGCAGAAAATAAACCTATCTGACTTTTATCCTAAGAAATACCTATAAGATCAAAAAAACACTTTGGAGGGCTGGCCGAGTGGCGCACTGGTTAAAAGCTGGCTTGGGACGCCAGCTCTGAGCAGCAGGGCCCTGTTTCGGACCCCACATGAGGGCCAGTGATGCTGTGCCCTCTACAGCTAAGATGGTGAAAAATAGCCCGGCCTGGAGCTGGGCTGCCGTGAGTCTCTGGTGACGGCAGAGGCTGCAGTGAGGCTGCAGTGGGCTGCCGTAAAGCTACCGTGAGTTGCTGGCAGCCGGCGTGAGCTGCCAAGAG